TAACAATAGTATATCAATCTGTAATAAATGACGTGAGGAAATTCTGTCTTTTTTAAAGATAAAAATTTTTGAGGCGAAATACCCAAAAAAAAGTTTGTAAAAAAATGAATCCGCCTCAACAATATAGAACTTCTCTTCTCTTCTTCCTCATCTTCATCTTCCCAATCTTCAGCCTCTTATTGCTGCATCTGCAACAGATACGCAACATCTACAACAGGCTAGTGCCGTTACGAATATGATATACTTAATAAAAAAAATAATAACAAGCAAAGACCAGGTGAAAAATGTTGTTGAGGGTTCAACATTAAGAAAAAATAAAATTTAAACACGAAAACACTCGAAATGGTGAAATGGGGATCCAGTGTAGGGGTTGAAAACGTTTTTTTATAATTTGCGGCAAAACGTGACATCCTAGCGGAAAACGTTGAATGCCAGAGTTGTAGATAGTCTAAACTGCATCCCCGTTTCCAGTGTTTTAGTGTTTAAATGTATTTTTTTCTTAAAATTGGAACCTTAACAACATTTTCCTTCTGGCATCTTGCCTGTTATTATTTTTTTTCCAAAAAAATTAGTTGCACTGGCCTATTGGGCGCTGCGATTGTTACAACAGGATGCTTCACAAATTAAAACTTTGAAGTTTCTAACAGGGGAAAACTAGGATTAACGCTCATGAAAAAACATTAATTTATTCTTCCAAAAAAAATGTATTAATCTTTTAACTTTCACATTTAGTTACTAGTGATGATGTTGCGTAACCGGCACTTGAGCCTCCTCGGCTGTTCTATGGTAGATTTTCGCCTCGTAAAAGAAAGAGTTCGGTATTTCAGTCACAAACATCTTTCCAAACTTGATTGGCTTATTGAATGGATAGTAGACAGGGTAGTCATCTACATATCCACCACCAGTACCAGGACGGGGGTAGAAGTAGTTCATTTCCTCCTTCTGTCCGGTATACTCCTTGTACGGGTAAACGATGAAGTAGAATTGGTAGGGCAATCCGTTGTAATTTCCAATAGGAAGCATCAACCTTTGGAACGAATTGAAAAATTAATCACAAAATAATTGGGTAGAGAAGATGGGAATATGTACCTTTGTGGATACAGGAAATAGCTTTCCTTGCCATCAACGTGGAAAGCTCCTTGTCCATTATGCGCTTTGAACACGTCTTTGTAGAGTTCTTCGTATGTAGTTTTGTCTGGTCCATAATATTCAGTTTCAATAGAGCTGCGCTTGATGATATTCTCCCCGGTCTTTAGGTGCCATTGGAAGGCATCAACTGGGACGAAATTCCATCTGCAATTTGAGAGAAATTGATTTAAACTGAAAAGCCAGGCAAGTTTTCCCTAACCTGTTTTCGCTGATATTCAAATATCTGCCGTGTTCGTCGTATTTGGGACCAATAAACACTTTTACCATAGCCTTGGTATCCTGGTTGGAGTTCACGTGAATCTTGTAGGTGAAGGGTTTATGATTCAGTCGTTTTTGAACAGCCCAAACCTTCAATCGATAATGAATTAACCGAAAATATTTGTATGGAAGATGCACTTACTTTGAATGTATCAGCTTTCAGTTCTTCTTCCGTATCAAAAACTCCATTGCTGATGTCAGAATAGTATTGATCAAAGTAGGTGATAAGTCGGTCCATTTCAATTTTTTCAATGGTAACTCCTGGGAATAGCAGTTCGTTTTTGTGGTAGGGGGCGACGTTGTTCTCTTGGAATGTATGGTAAAATCCTAGAATCTACAAAGCAAGTGATTAAACCACAGGGTTTTTGCATGTAATGGTTTTTACTCACTCTCTTCAGTAGTTGGTAATAGGCAGGATCTCTAGAGGCAGTCGCATCATGTTCTAAGACAGAAGGAGCAACATGTTTCCAGGTGATTGGATTAAAGGAGTATCCCAAAACGTGGCTGGCATAAACCGTGTAGTTTTTATAGAAATGGGGGGCTGGAGAGTCCGGGTTGCCTTGCAGCAGGTTTCCAAATTTGTTGATGTCTTCGTTATTGGACTCGGCATGGTACAGAGGCACGTGTTTATTCATTTTCTGTAAAGGTTATTAGTCAAGTATACAAGCTATTGCAAACATATTAATGAAATAGTGAATGATTTGAAGGAGAACATTTCTAAAACATTTCTTCGGCATGGTGTATTTTTTCTTCTTCAACATTTTTCTATTTTCGACTCATTTTTTCAATCTGTTAAATATTGTCTTGTTCAGTACTGGTTATATGAACGATATTGTTTATACATCATTTAATGTGTTTGAAAATTGTTACATAGTTATGATTTTTTGTCTTTGTGGTTATTTATTGCGTTGCGTTTTAAGTGTTTTCGTTTATGTAAATATTGAAAGAGAAGTCCTGAAGAAGTTTGAAAGATGGACCTTTTAAAATTAATATAGTAATTTTCTATACGCCAAAAGTGCGAACACCGAAAAGTCTAACAAAAAAAAAGGGAAGAAGCTTGGTTGAGCTTGGAACTGTTTGAAAGAGAAAGGATGCCAGTTTAAGGCTCAAAGTTTCAATTTTGCATCTTCCTCAGAGATAGTTTGCTTTTATGTAGCAATAGTTAGCAAGCCAATGTGATTAAGTCGCAAACTCTCTTAATATGCCATTTAATAGAATAAACTTGCTGGTCGAAGCCATAAAATTTTCCAATATGTGGCAATTCTACCGATTTTCTGATCCATTTTGAAACAAAGTAGTTTTGATACAAAGCAACTTATCGAAATTAATTTTCGGAAAAATGAAGACGAATAAAATTTCCTTGTCGCCCCAGCTTGAACTATAGTATAGTTGCTGTATAGACTGTAAAAGTTTCGAACTGTTCCATTATGATAAAATTTCGCAGACATTTTAAAATCTGAACCTACTTTAAAGCTAAGTTTTCCATATGACAACTTATTCAAACAAATTTGTCCAAAAAGCGTCACAAAAAAACGAATTATTTATCATTCAAAACCTACCAGAATTTTAATATTTCCTGCATTTCAACTAATTTTCGTAACCAGTAGCAAATACGCAGAAAAGCAACAGAGCTTCAGAATAAAAAGTTTTCGAGAAAAAGTTCTAGCAGCACATGCACATTCTTACAATAGAATTTTGTCCGACTAATTATGAAAAGTTTAGATTAATTGAAACAATTTAAGACAAAAAAGAAATTAATAAAGTTTTTACCAAATGATTAAGAAGAGAAGATTTTAACACCCGTTAGATTTGGGGACAATGTATTTGACAAATTATTGTTTACAAAAGTTAAAACTTTCCTCTAAAAGGGCAAATTTGAGGAAGTGAAGAAAAATTGATTTTCAACTCAAATATTTTCTTATTTCTTTTAAACGTGTTGCAAATTAATTGTCCAACTCCTTCCTTTTGAATACACTTTCAAGATAAGACATTTATCCAATGTACTTACGGTGTCATAGACAAAACCGCTATCAATTGCATCAGCAATGCGCCTCTCAAAGTTTTTCACATTGGTGTAACTGTGAGCATACTTTGAGTTAATGTGTTCGCCGTAGTTGTAGAAATACTCGCTTAGTTTAGCGAATTTGGGCCTTTCAGGGAAAGGAAGTCCATTGGGATATTGAAGCGATGGATAGTATGGAGTCTCAAATGGCACATCCCAGTCGAAGGTGGAAATCTGGCCTTCTCCATGAGAAAGGCGTTCCAAATAGTAGCGAGCCACCAAGCTTTGAATGTGAACCAAAAAGAATTCCCCTAAAATCGAGCAACATTTTCAAGCACTCCATTTTTAATCGTTTCGTTAATTCAAACCTCTGTAATCGTTCTTCAGATGGAATTCTTCGCCATCCATCCAGAATGGATAGAACAGTCCATAAGTATATAAGTATTCATTGGCACCAATATCCTCCAAGAAATAGGACAAGGACTGTTCCCAATGCAAGTTCAGGTAATGTCCAGAATAATTTGCGAAGATATGATTGTGTTCAGGCTCTTCCATTTTCTGCAACATTCACTTCAGTTATTATCGCGAAGATAAAACTTATGCAAAATATGTCTCACCTTAGAGTCTTGCTGATGTACCATCTTATACTTGTAGGCCTGTTGTATAACCTCGGTATTGAAGAAGAACCAGGGATATATTTCGTAAATTGGAGGAAGAATAATTCCGTAGGTGTCCTGTCGATGGACAACAGCAACCGATGTAGTGTAAAGGAATAATCCTGGAAGATGAAACATGTTTCTTAACAATCACTTATTGCGTCTGTGGTGCAAACAGAACGAAACCGTTAAAAATATCTGAATGACTAAGTACACATTTCGGAATTAATTGCAAGAATAATGAAGCAGCAGTTTGTCGAGCGATTTAATTTTTTTGCTTGCTATAAGGGTCCTTCAGAATTATTCTCGAGGATAAAGGGGTTGCAATAGGATGGTTTATTGCTTACTTGAATAGTTTGTCCAATTATTTGTACAATCTATGTGATTTTCATACCCGACAGCGCTCATTTTGGTAGCTGTTTGTGTGAGTCAATGAATCCATAAAACACTGCCTTAGGTCATTAGACTGGAATTTGCCACACAGTTACGGCTTTTATTCAATGTTATTTTAAAGATATTTATATTTTTAGGACATTCCCAAGAAATGTTTGTGTTGTAATTTTAACTTTAATTCGATAAGTGGAGCGATCACAAGTTATAAAAGTAAAGCGAGAAAAACTTCCACTTCAACGAACTTTAACTGCGAAAGCCGACGATTTAGAAAATAATTGTCAAATTCATGGGTTTCAGGCAAAGTGTGAAATAAAAATTTTCATATCGTTTATTTCATATAACGTTTCGGCGAAACGACAGCGATATTATCATATTTAAAATTCAAAACAAACCCATCGTTGGGAAACATTAGATTTTTTGAATTTTTTTTTGTATTGAATATGAAATGAAAATTATATGAACAGTTTTATTTCACACTTTGACGACTGAAACACCGGAAAGAAAAAAATATAATAACAATTACACGCAGTCAGGAAAACAAATCAAAATAATTTAACATATTCTAAGTCCTCTGCTTACATGAATTTGTAATCAAATTTAGTGTATGGGCTATGGGCATGCCGTGTGTAGAAGAAAAGAGGGGAAACATTATTTTTGACTGGAACACTGTGTATATAATTCAATTGACTATTTCTTAATTAATAATATGGCATTCTGAAGTCCAGATCGAATTAATGAACAATTTTTCTTATTCATTTAGAGTCAAAAATAGTAGTTTTATTCCTTAATTTGCTGCACATTGATTTAAAAGTAGCGGATTTTTGCTAAATGAAAACTTGTAGAAAAGTCCAATAAAAAGGAAAAGTAGAAAAGGCAGTTTATTCAAACGAAAAACTCTGTATTTCGACAAATGTTCTAAAAAAGGCATGCTCTTCTTGCATTCAAAGCAAAGATTTTGATCGTTTTTTCTGCATTATCTAGCGGCAGACGGAGAGATTCTCAATTGAAAATGTAATAAAATTCACTGGAATGAATGTTCATGTGGATATTTGTTACTGAGATTTATTCGTCATAAAAATTGACAAATTTATATAAATTTCACTAATTGGGGCAAAATCAATGCAATAAAAGTTTTCTCCATGCTTTCAAGTGTACAACGGGGCTCATTTAAAACTCAAAAATAACTGCTACTTTTAGATAAAATTCGCATAATTTTGGGGAGTTTCAGAAACCAATATCTACTAAAACAGTACTACTGAACTGATCCAAATTAACCCGAAGGTATAAATGAAGCTTTTGCTATCGAGGTTTTTGAGTTAAATTTTAATATATCTCCTGAATAATGAAAAAACATTTTTGGGAAATAACAGTGCTAAATGCCTAGCAAAATTGCAGGGATTTTGAAGGATTTCGAAAATTAATTTCTACTAAAACACTTGTTTGAATTCAGCCAAATTACACCAAAATTTAAGTAAATCTTTTGCTTTTATTCTCCTGAATATGTATATTAAATAACAGGGCCAAATGCAATATAACAAGAATTTTGGTAAATTTCAAAAATATATATTAATTATATTTTTGAGAATTTTGGAGCAACGCAATGCTGAATTTAATTTTTTATAGACGCACATGCTACTTTTCAGGATAATTTTACATTTTACGCTTCTTAAAGATTTAAATTAACATCGACCCTTTTGTTGCAACTTTTACTCCTCACCAAGCTGTTTTCTAGAGAAAAAATTCGCAATAAAAAAGCTTTCTTCAGTCGGAGTTTTATCGAATAAATTCAATACAAAAACTTTACTTGCTTTCGAAATGTAAATTTGCAAAAGCGAAAAAAATCCGCATGTCTGGACTGATTTCTACTTATTTTTCTTCCAATCACTTACCTTCATTAACGAATTTCCTCATCACCACAGCTGTTTCATAGAAGGTTTCAAAATCTTTCGCATAGTAGAACAGTTTGAACAAAGCCACGGCCTGATCTAAATGTTCCTCAGTGAAGATCGAGAAAGGCACACCTTTGGGAAGTATGTAGTCGTAGTGCAGGTACTTAATAACCAAATCAACCACCTCAGGCTTCTAAAAAAAGTTTCCATTCATATACGTTTCATAACGGAGAATAGAGTGTATGAATATGGATTTACATTCGATGACAAATTTGGAAAAACGGCAAAATCATTGAAATGCCAAAAAAACTTTCTCAAGAAGATTTCTTCGTGAATAGGAGTAAAAAAATATTTCTTTGATTACCTCAAATGATGCTTTGTGGATTTGAAGCCACTGAATTGGATCAGTGACACTTCCGGATATTTTCACATGTTCTTCGGTTACACTATGTTGGTGAATGTGCTTAAATAAGTTCAATACTTTCAACTGCTTGTCCAAGAAATCTTGATCAACTGAAAGAATTGAAGCCATTAAAATGCAGGGAAATAATTCCAAGCAAAAAAGCGGTTACTGATAAAATATAGGAAAAAATTGTCAAATACTTACCAGTTTTGTAACGTTTTTCTTGCTGTGGAGGAATGCTGCCGCTGAACGCAACCGCACCAAGACCCAACACCAACAAAGTCAACGTGAGCTTCATTTTGGAAATGCTCCCTTGGTCTGTCCTTATGTTTGTCGGTTTAGTCTTTTTATACTCACTTCGTCCAGGTTGTATCGCACCAAGATAATTTTAATTGGTGTTTTGTTTGCTCAATCACTAGTAGTTATCGTTTTGTTCAATATTAACGTATGACCTTATCGACATGTTGTGAAACAATATGCGTTAAGAAATTGGTCGTTTGTGCTGTAGGAAAAGTTTTGATTACAGACAAGATTTCATAACATGTGTTTTTTGCACATTTGCATTGACAAAAACATAGATTTTAAATAAAAATCAATTGCGCAAGATGCTGCAAAGTTAGTTACTTTTAACTTACTTAAGTTACTTTAAACAACTTTTTAGGGTATACAAACATATCCTGTTAATAAATTTATTAATAAAAAGAAAATGCTTTTGATTTTGATATTCTTTGCAGTTCACACCTTGATCTTTATCAATTTTCAGAATATTTTTTGAGCTTGGTGTTCATTTTTGATTCCTCAAACGTACAAATTTTTATCATCAAAAAATCAGTATAAAAATTTGTTATTAGGATTCGTTATTTTAGATTTATTACTAACATTTTGACTTTTCATTAGATTATCTTTAAATTGATCTAGGCTGTGGATGGATAAGAATGAATGCGTAAGATGATAAATTTACTGGAAGAAAGCTCTTAGAAAAAAATAACAAACCCGCTCAAGTTATAAATATTATTATTATTATTCTTATTCTTCTAGAACTATGAATTTATTAAATTCGAAAAGCTAGTAACAGAGGGTCCAAACACTCGGAATTCTTAAATTCCTCGATATAACTTACTTAACCGGCTCCAAACCGGTCTATAATCTGCATGGGTAGAGTGCAAATCTAAGTGGCTTTCGAAAGAGGGTAATCAATCAAGCCTCTATTAAAAATACTAAACAATATAAATGGAAATTATTTTTACCTATTGTTACCTTATTTAAGTCATTAGTCAGTAAATTTTACGCAAATATCAAAAGATATTAATTTAACACATAACACATTGAATTATTGAGAATATTATTTTATGTTTGTCTGTTTTAGCTTTTTACAATAAAAATTAAAAATGTACTATCAAATGTTTAGCATCATCAGACTTTTAGGAATATTAGTGTTTCAAAGGAAACAATTTATACGTATTTTAATATTTTAATCTAAATCATACAAATTCTTACTAAAAGTACCTATGTCTAGCCCTAAACTCACATGTAACAATTTAATTAAAACAAAACAGAATTTGGTCAAAACTTCTGCGTCTTATTTGTAATCCCTAATATTTCGTTCAACCCAAAAATATGCTTTCGACGAAGTGCTTGTTCTAGCAATTATATTTCACGTAATTTCTGTAACTTATGGAATGTAAAGTAATTGCTTTAAAAACGATAAATTAAATCTTCAATCATTAATCTCAATTATGAATAATAGAGTCACAGTTTGTATGCTTACCATAAAACGAAATTAGCAAGAGGGACAAATCTATCCATGAAACCTTTTAAATTATTGAATTTATTTGACAAAATTCACTATACGTAATACATGGTTTTATAAATACGTAGAACTAGTTTTTGTAAACTTCCGTTGAAATTTGATAGAAAATTAATTGTCAATTACAAAATACATATACTTACGACAAACAATTATGACCATTCACCTCTAACGACCTAATAATAAATTAATTTTAAAATAAGCTTGCCAAAGCATCGTTTAAAACATCGTCAAAAAACGAAAAATTGTGTATGTGACAAACTTGTCTTTGCCTAGGAAAAAAAAGCGTATGCACTTTAGTGCTTGTTCGAAAAGAAATCTGCACACAATTTGTTGCCAAGCTGAGACGAGCCTTAAATAAACTTTGTTATTTTAATCGCCGTTATCAAAAATTAACACAAATTATTGCTTTTATTCAATTAAATTTAATTTGCCGATAGTCATCTTACCTTTTAATAAACTATGCAATTAATTAAAAGAAAACATTATCTGAAAATGTAAGGAAAGAAAGTTTTCGATAATATAGTTTAGTTGTGTTGAATTAATTAGTTTCAAAAGGCAACAACAGCTCAATTTTAAACAAAAAAATTATAGTTGTTTAATTTGTCTTGGTTAATCGTTTTTTTTTAGGTTCTTTGCATGTTACACCCGGTAGCACTTTCAATATGAGGGTTTTGAAAGTGTTAATTTTTCAGATATGATGGAGAGTGAAGTAAAATGCATGCTGAATAAAGCAATCTAATATTTTATACCACCACAAGTTTAAAGCTTTGGTTCTAAGTAGGTACCTATTATTTCGCTTTCGCTCCCTCACAGCACGCATGAGCCCATTTATTTTCTGATAGTTGAAAATGCAACTGAAAAGTATCTGAACCTTATATGGATGCAGCTCGTCTAAGGATTTCGGTTTATTTCACCAACTTATCAATAAATCAATAGAAACAATAAACCCAAAAATCATAGTAGAGAGATGCTAGGTTTTTTCGCCTCGTAGATCAGAAAACCCTTCTTTCAATCTAAAGGTTAAAAAAATATAAGTATTTAGATTTATTATAAATTTATTCCAAGATGTGGGAGGGTTTCTTCCAAAATCATGCTAAAACCACAGCTTAAATATCATGTGATGATGATCATATGATGTATAAGCTGTGCTAAAACCACATGTTAACTCTGTTCTGAAGCGGAGTCCAGTCCACCATTAACTCTTGCAACTCGGTTTGTTAAACACTTAGATAATGCTATAAATGTTGATACATACAAATGTTCCAATAAAAATATTATTTAAAAACTGCACCAAATATTTAGAGAAAAGCGGTTTTAAAACTGAATTTTTGCGGTTTCAAAAAAGTTGTGGTATCCGTAATTCCTCCAAAACTTGGCTTAATCTCTCCTTAAATAGAATTTGTTCACGAAGCTCTAACAAAATTCTGCAAGGTTACCCACACTTTCATTCGTTGAACATGAACACGATTAAATATTTTCGTGCACTGGCAGAGGAACTATTGTTGATCATGTTAAAAATATCTTCTTTTTCTTCAAGTTCTTGTTGTATGGGACATTCTGTAGTTGGTAGGACTATAAAATGATTTCTTATTAGCATTTTCTGTTGTTTTTTTCTTTAATATTGCTCACAACTCCTTAATCATTAAATTTTGGAGAAAATTGACATTTTCGACTTAAAATTGACTATAAAACACGTTCTCAATATTTCAAATATAATATCGAAATAAAAATGCGAATGTTGTTCTTCGAAATAGGTATTGATTTATTTCCAATTTCTGATGATTTTTCCTTGCAAGTCATTGCAGCATTTCACTAGTTTCTAAAATCCAATGAAATATTTTTATAGGCAGGATAATTAATGCGTGATTGCGTTGAAAGCCGCAACAGATGAATCACATATCACTAGACTTGAATGTCAATATGCTTATTGCTATGCCGAGCAGAGATAAAACGGTCGGTTTAAAAATAATGCTTTGTTTTTAAGCGATTAAACTTATCGTTTTGAACTGTTGACATTTCCACAATAAACTCCCAAAGAGTACCTCAAACGAGATGACTATTATTAAAAACTTGTTTACAATTTTAATATCAATATTTATTAATTACGAATTAAACAATATTTATTGCAAATCACCTTTGATTTCTTGCGTAAAATGCTGCTAAAAGCTTCGAGTTCCTCTAATTTAAACTAATATTAGAGAATTAACGCCGATTTTTTTGGTATAACTATTGGTATTTTCAAGAAGTAAACACAACTTTGCTTATTTGAACATGAAGAATGTGTTACGCACTTTAACCTGTTATTAATATTATTAAAAAGAATAATGGTGGTACTGTAATAACTTTGCTTTGTCTCTATTCAAAAGAGCCAAAGTTCTATTTTATGTATTGTTTTTTTACGAAACGACTCGCTCAAGTTTGGAATTACAAGAACCCATTATTTAGTCCAGAGAAAAGATTGCAAAGCGTTTTCCAGTTGAAACCTGCTCATTCCTTCACTTCTTGAAAACCCAAAATATTTAGAATTGATAAAGTTCTGAGCGCAATTTGTTTATAGATTTCAAACGTTTTTTAAGGAATTAAGTAGAGAACTTCAATAGCAACACGAAAAAGTCTTCGAATCTTTCGGCATAACTTTGGGCGACTTTCCAATCCATTTCGTTTCCATAAAAAGCTTGACAAAGTTCTTCAAATGATGTATTTTTGAATTCATCAAATTAAGGGTATGTAATGTCCGTAACATCTTTATGGGCGATAGATCGGACGATTCGGGCGTCCATCGCAATCAACTGAAGTAGGCGTGGTCCCAATATATTTTTAGGAGGTCTCTTAGGAATATAATAAAATATTCTTAGGTTTGCCAATTGAATGCCTATAGATAATGGTTGGGATTTTGCTTTGGTAACCTATACAAACTCCTACTAAACTGTTATGTAACAATATAACGGGAGAATATGAGTCAAGCTAAATGTGTTCTGCCTATAAAATTATAAGAGGTAAATGTTAAATATACGCCTACAGAAGCAGAGAATAAGGTATTCTCTGAATAAATAATTCAACATTTTCAGAGCTAATAGAGTGAAGATTTTTCTATGAAACGATCTTTAAAACAGAGTATACTTAGCTGCTTTTGTTTAGTTTTGAGTAATAGACATTTGGAAAAAAAATCTGATAGTGCAGAGTGCCGTTGAATAGTAATTTCTACGATTATAATAAAACTTTCCTATTGAAAAATTGCCAAAAGTCGAGATAAATCGCGTGCAAATCGAAAGTTGTGGTTTTCTATCAAATGGTCTATAAAGCTGCTTTGCAGCAAGTGATCAATTGGAACGGACACCAATCTAATGAAAGCTCTCATTAGGAAAACTGCAAAAAAAAATGAGCAAAGCCGCAAATCAATCTCGAAATTTACGGATCTAATAGAATTAACAATTCTCTATTTACGCCTCATTTTAGTTTATCAGTTTGTGAAAGTAGTGGAAAGGATGAATAACTAGTGAAAAGGAAAGGTAGCATAAAAAATAGCAAATCAACTAAGATCGAGCAAAGATATCTAGCAAATCGTCTATAAAGCAGTTTTCTAGCTAGACATCATTTTATTGGATTACTTTTTCTGCGGATCAACCTGCGGAATACTTTTAACGACAAATAAATTTTAATATACCAACGGCAATCTTGCTAGATTTTTTCTTAGAAAAATTGCCGATTTTACGCAATTTTTCGGGCATAATGGCCAAAAATCTACAGTTGCAAAACTACTACAGCAAAATTGTTTATGTGCTTTTTAGCTAGTTATTTTGCGTTCCTCATTCAATAGATGGCTAAAAAGTTATTAAAAATCGGGAAAATCGTGCGTAAATCGGCATTTTCAAGGTGAATAGAGCAAAAACATCTCTCAAATTGCCTATAAAAAGGTCTTCATTCTACATCGCATTTTGGTTAATCATTTTTTGGAAAATTGCTAAACCCAAACACGTTCGGGTTTAAACACAAAATCGGCAAAACTCGAAACAGTTGCAGAACTACTAGAACGAAAAATGCTTTATAAAATGGTCTCTAGATCCATCTAGTTAGTCTTCATTGTTATTTAATAAATGTTTCATAAAATATTAACCTGCCGAATTTAAAGGCAACTCACACCAATTAAATCAAAATTTTCTGTAAAAATCTTCCAGTTGCGATTTTCATGCAAGTCATCAATGATGTAGATTTTGAATAATAAATTTTTGGAAAATGGTTTAACTGTGAAATATTTAACCGAAAAAGGCCAACTTTCTGCTATCTAATCAATCTTCACTTTTTAAATATTTTCTCTAAATTTTAGTAATTTTTAAAATCGGCATTTCAAAATTTAATAGAGGGGAAACATTTCTCTTCCCACAAAGAAACCTTCTGCCTATGCCTGATTTTTTAATGCATAATTATTGGGAAGAAATGCAGCGTTGTGACCAAAAGCGACTAAAAATTACAACAATTCAATAAACCATTCATGTCAAAAAATGTTGCCATAAAATCAGCATATCAAATGTCCTACAAAACAGCCTTTTAGTTTCAGTTCAACTTTCTATTCAGTTTAAAGGAAAAACGTGTAATAAAATCGGCATTAAGAGAACCATAAGTTATTAAAATTGGGCATCAACTTTCTAGCTACTTATCAGTTATCAGTTTTACTATTGAATCGTTGAATAAGAAAATAACCCACGGAATGTTGTAATCGAAAATGATTTGCAACTTTCGCCAATCGTTTTTGTGAACCAGTGAACCAATATAATGATTTCGTAAAATATTATTTAATGGACATTCAAACTAGTGAATGTTAAATGCTCTGATAGTTGTGATTATAGAATAAACTTGTTAGAACGCGCCAGAAAATTATTTATTTATTGTGCCTTAAGGCTCGTCTAACTCATTTTAATACAATTTATGATGCCAGATAACCGGCCCTATATTTGAATTTGTTTCACTTTTCTAAACAAATTTGTTTATTTTAAGTGAAATTTTGGGAAGGAGTCAGTTAAATATAAAACCCAATATGAACCACAATCCAATTTCTCACAGGTTTATTTATAAACATTTATAACTCGCTGAATTAACTGATAAATACAGTCGGGCAACTATATTTATCAAGAAAGTTTTATGGGCCCACTCAATCTTCTGAAGTTACAGAGTTGGGGTCAGTTTTGTGATATATCTTCGTTTCGTAGAAGATGGCGTTGGGGATTTCATCGTAGAACATTCTTCCATACTTGATGGGACGATCGAATGGATAGTAAATGGGAGTATCGTCAACGTAGGGACCGCCTACGCCTGGGCGAACGTAATAATAAGTCCATTCGCTAGGTTTGTTGCCTGCGTATGGTTTGTACGGATAGACTATGAAGTAGAACTGGAATGGGTGACCTCCAGAGCTTCCCTTAGGAAGCATATATCTAAAAACGTAATTATTTTGGATTTAAGTGGGGGCAAAGTTTCACTGACTTACCTTTGTGGGAAGTAGAAATGATTTTCCCGGCCAGAAACGGTGAATTCTTCTTTGTCATTTAAAGCACCCAAGACTTTCTTGTACAAGTCATAGTAGCTAGTTTTATCAGGCGCAAAGATTTTAGACTCGAACGAGCTCCTTTTGATGATGTTATCTCCTGCCTTCAGATCGTAGACGAACTTATCCAATTCAAAGAAGTTGTATCTGTAAGGAAACAATAACTCAAACATTCTATATATCTGAAACGCCAATTTAAACTACCGGTTATCGCTGATATTAATATATCTTCCAAACTCATCGTATTTTGGCCCAATGAAAATTTTCACCGAAGCTTTAGTGTCTTTGTCGGACTTCACGTGAATCTTGTAGGTGAAGGGCTTGTGGTTCAACCGATACTGTTTAGCCCGCACAAAGAAGTGGTTTTCCTTTTCTTTCAATTCCTCCTCTGAGTAGTAAACAGCTTGGCTCAGGTCTGAGTAGAATTCGTCGAAGTAGGTAATCAAACGATCCAATTCGATTTTTTCGATCGACACCCCCGGGAATATCAACTCATTTTTCGTATAAGGAGTTAGACGAGATTGGTATCTAAAAAACGCTGGTACGGGCAACAGTTATTGTTGAATGGAATTTCACTTACCTAACGTAGTAAAGCATCAAGTGTTTATACAACTGGTAGAACGCAGGGTCTCTTAAGCTAGTTTCTAAATGCTCCAAGGCAGATGGAGCGACTTTGTCAGTGGAAAGGGGCAGATAAGAGTATCCCAAAAGGTGACGCGCAAAACCTAAGTAATTATACGTTAAAATTAGCAATCAGTTTATAAGGCAAAGGCATGCCAGTTTTACCGAGCCATGGGCCATAGAAATGTCCATCGGGAGAATCAGGGTTGCTTTGAAGCAGATTGCTCAATTGGTCGTAGCTGAACTTATTATTGTAGAGTTCCACTCTTTCGCCTAGTTTCTGCAATTGAGAATGAGTTGGTTTTTTTCTTGCTGTGTAGTGAATATTTATAAATAACTCAAACTGTTTTAAGACAAAAAGAGAAACCGCACCGCTGTCTATTTTACTCTTTGGAAAAATTCGTTAAGAGGCTCATTACCAAACACGATTTCCTTGTGTACAGAGGAAGAGTTAAAATAAATAATATCATTTAGAAAAAAGGGGAAAATATGTTTGAATGTGGAATAAGTGTATAAGTAATTATATGTGAAAAGAAGATTGCACTATTAACTTAATAGAGATACAGGGTGTCCCGTAAGCTCGTGATCAAAAGGGTACTGCGATATTCTTTGAATCAAAAGAAGACGATCTGACCTAACTTTTATTAACAAAAAATGTCTGGCTCCTCTGCTATTGATGGTCAAAGTTCTTCAAAAAATTTATCTTTTTTGAAATATCGGGAGAATGGTACRATGTATTTTGGTGAAACGCGCTGTGAATTTGTTCTTATGTAAGACTCATATTTTGATAAAACAATCGAATTCAGCCGTTTTGAACAAGTGATGAATATTTGAGTATCGTATAAAAGTTGAGTTTCGTATGGTAGTAYAAAAACTACCAGAACTTTTGAGTTGGAGGATAAAATCAACTCGTTTTTTTTAGGTTGATGCACTAATCATTTATTCACAATTTTGTGCTCTTTGTAAAATCTTGTAGCATTCATAGTTTTTGCGAAAAAAAATATTTCTATTTTCTAGCCACTTAACAATTGTAGACATTAACTGTAAATATCGTGATACGAGGCATAAAATCAATCAATCCCACAAATTCGTTTTGAATGACCTTTTCCAATGAAGAAGTGACCGACATGGTCAAAGTATTAGAGTTTTGCGAAGACAACTTGCGTGAAAGCGTACGCGTTTACGCTGCGCATATTTGCAGTTAATGTCTAGCATTGTTAAGTGGCTAGAAAACAGACATATTTTTTTTCGCAAAAACAATGAATGCTACACGATTTTACAAAGAGCACAAAATTGTGAATAAATAATTAGTGCAATAACCGAAAAAAAAATTAGTTGGGTTCATCCACCAACTAAAAAGCTCTTGTAGTTTTCGTACCACGATACTCAAGAATTCATCACTTGTCCAAAACGGCTGAACTCGATTGTTTCATCAAAATATGAGTCTTAGAGGTGAGAGTGTAACGTGGAATGTCGATGCATAGATGTTCATATATAGGTACTAGAAGAAATGACGCTTGCATCATCAGAATAATCGCCTAATGAATATACGGCAACAAGAAATTTAATTTCGAGTATGCCACGAAGATTGGACTACATTTTACACTAACATTTTACTTTCCTTTCTTGCACTGTTAGATTGATAAAAAAACAAAATGTTATAAACACAAGACAATTATATGTTGCAATTTTGTTAATTGTTAATATACAACATTGGCCAATATAGCAAATGTTCGTAATAAGACGCAGTTTAAATTTAACTGGTAAAATGGCTAAGAAAAGGTGCTTCAATGTTTTCTCCTTTATCTGTGATGAAGAATAGACATTTCTCACCTTTGAATAAAAATAGCCAAATAATTAAGCTGGAAATTTCAAAAAAATGTATACTAAAATGATAAATTTCGGTAAATCCCTTGGTGCATTTTTTCAATTTCGATAAGCTCTGCCTCAAAATGATTCCTCAACGAATGAAAAGTAATATTTGCCTAGCCAGGCGCAAAAGATTGCCGATTCGAAGGAAATGTGAATAAAAGGATAAAAGCGCTTTAGTCGTTTTAATCCAATGGACAAGATCAATATTCAATAAGTTGCCCAATGGTGCGTTAGAGTTATGTGATAGGACATAACAAATTAATAATTTGCATACGAATTTACCTCACAAATGCCTTTTAAATATTTACTGATTTTAAATGCGATTTGTTAGAAACCCAAAATTAAAATCTTTAGTAAATCAGTTAAATGAGAAAACGAAAAAATCCTCAAAAACAGTTAGGCGTCATTAAAGTGGACACAAGCACTTTTTAATCAACTTTGAAATAGTTAAAAAATAACTTGAAATACTTTAAGTGAAATTAAAAAATATGTAGGGTAATTTTCATGCACAGTAGCAGAATCAGGTTCTTCATTTCCCCAAAACAGTTTGAATTTTATTACATTAGTTAGCCAGAGTCAAAGGCGCAACAAGCGCAAACACCTAGACCTATCAAAATAATTTTTTAAATTTATTTTCCTGACTCCGTGCAATTGATATTATATTCTTATCCTTCCTGGGTCGAAGTCAAAGTGTGAAGTAAAAATTTTGAATATCTTTATTTCATTACGTTTCGGCGAGACAACAGCGCCATCATCAGATTTAAAATTTACACAAACTACAAGCACCAATTCACAATTAAAACATGTTGTACAAAAACTATAATTTATAAAGCGTTAAAACATTCATTAGTTCTTGAGGAAAAAATTAAAATGTTTTGCTCTCCCAAAAGGAAGGATTTTTTTCCTCAAGAACTAATGAATGGTTTAACGCTTTATAAATTATAGTTTTTGTACAACATGTTTTAATTGTGAATTGGTGTTTGCAGTTTGTGTAAATTTTAAATCTGATGGTGGCGCTGTTGTCTCGCAGGAAGGATAAGAATATAATAACTATAAAAATAATTGTAAATTGTAATCAAGTTTTCAAAAATCAACTGAAGCAGGCAGAAACCAAACACTAACATACACGAAAAAAAGCATTCTGCTTGCAAAAAACTTACCTAAATCAAGTAACTCCAGGTACTTTATACAAGTTAGTTATGAAGTCAAATTATTAAATACTACTTTAAACATGTACTAATATGTACTTACATTGTGTGCATAGCCCCTGTCGATGGCATTCCTTATTCTCCTAGAGTAGTCTTTGTAGTAACTATAACTGTGGCCAAACAAAGATTTATCGCTCTGTCCATAACTGTAGAAGTAATCAGCCAGTTTCGCAAATCTGGGCCTTTCAGGGAAGGATAGTCCATTCTGATATTGCAAAGATGGATAATAAGGCGTTTCCACCGGTGAATCAAAGTCTAAAATGGATATTTGTCCGAACCCGTTTGAAAGACGTTCCAAATAGTATCTGGAGAAAAGTTGTTGGTGGATAAAAAAGTATAAATCTCCTCGCCGATCATGAGAAATGCCGTATTTGGTGCCGGACATCCAGAAGGGGTAGTAGAGATAATACGTGTAGTAGAAGGAATTAATGCCGATATCTTCCAAGTAGTAGGCGAGGGATTGTTCAGGATGCAGATTCAGATAAGAACCTGAGTAGTTGGCTTGAATTGTGTATCCGGGATATTTTCCAGAAACTGACTGGATCGGTTTTCCATCCCATGTTTGTTTGTATCTGAAGACAAGAAATATTGCCATACTATTATTACATTTTGGTCAATAAGATTAGCAACCGAAATTATACAAATAATCATTTTACTAGTCGAGTGCTAACATTGATTTTTCGAACAATACGAACTCATAGAATTGCAGTTTTTGTAGCTAAATATTCCCGCTTTAATTCAAGAATCTCTAAATTAAATAACAAAGATTGCGCCTTTGAATGCCAAACTCAACTCACCACGGACTAAACTTTTAATTGGATTTCCCCCATATTTATGGAGGGTATATGCTGTTTCAGGTGAAAGTTTATTTTCAAACAAAATTGGCATTAGATTGAGCCCCGTTTCCCAGTTTATTAGCCAAATTATCGCTATATCAACTAGTACCGGTTTGATCAAGCCCTAAAGCCTTATGTTTATACATATCAAATTAGAGCGCATGCTGAATTTTCCAAAACAAATATGATTCAATATTAAGGATGATTCAAATCCGAATTTTTGCAGTGTTTAGCGACATAAAAAACACATGCAGATGTAGAAGGGATTATTACGCGAACGATTTCCGTAATATTTAATTATTTGTTGAATTTTGAAAAGCCGTTTGTTTTGTTGCGACTATTGAAAGAAATCAATCAACCAAACAACTGCGACAGCTTGACCAAAACTACCTATAAAGCGCTTAATTCTCAAGAACTGTTGGGAATTTTTTTTGCCCTGTATCAAATCAAGTTGAATTTTTACCGAGTTATTAATAATCACCCTGTACACATTTGTGTAAGTGTACCGAGTGTTTATTGATAGTGAAAGATGATTTATTACAGATGCATGAACATTCTTAGATTTTTGCGCAATGAATTTATGATTAACTTAATGCCTTTTTTGCACACCCCCAAATATATAAAATATTGAAAATTAATTAAATTATAATAATTGGGTAATCAAAGGAAACTAAAGATAGAATCACTTACCTATAAGCCTCCTGAATAGTATCAAAATTGAAGAAGTAATGCGGGTAAATTTCATAGATGGGCGGAAGAGTAATTCCATAAGTATCCGGGCGGTGAATAATGGCTACAGAATACGAATAGAGAAACAGACCTTCGTTCACCCATTTTCGGGAAAGAATAGCAGTTTTATAGAAAGTATCAAAATCCTTCGCATAGTAGAAAAGATCGAAAAGAGCTATGGCTTGTTCGCGATGCTCTGGATAGTGAAGGCAGAATATTTCTCCTTTGGGCATTTGATATCCATTCGTGTAGAACTCAATGATTTTATCGACTGCTTCAGTATCCTACAAGATATTTACATCAACAGTTAATTTCTTATTTAAAAATATGGATCTTACAGTGAAAAGGTCTCTGCTTTCAGTTAGCTTGAAAGAATTTAAAACTTCTTCGTGCTCTTCATCATGCGTATGCTGGTTAATATGCTTAAATAAGGAGAGGACTTTCTTTTGTTTATCCAATAACTCTTTGTCAGCTGAAAGAAAGTATTTTTATACATAAGTTACATAACGAATAAATTGTCTGAAAATGTAGGTTTACATAATGATGTGGTTGAACAGTAATGACGTCAAAATCTTTTCAATTTAATTTCAATGAATAAATTCATCAACGCCTAAAAATGCCATCAACATAAAACTGAACCAAAAACAACATTAGAAAAATTTAATTGAGATTGTTGTACAACTCACCAACTTTATAGTTACTATGATAAGTACTTTCGCCCAGCGGTGTTGCCCCTGATGAGGCACAAAAAGCCGCACACACAAAAATAAAAACCAGCTTCATCTTCAGCCCACCCAAGCAAGCAATGAAGTGTGCTCAGTTTAGCACAACTTAATAATTTATACCCTCTTCACAGACCGGACTTAATGACCTTTGATAAAAAAAATATCCTGCAAATAGCCTTCTAAGTATTGACTCTTATCACATGAAATATATATTGTCCCAATATGACAAACAGGGTAAATACACTTTTCAACCCGTCCAAACAATCCAATAAAAACCCAACGAAAAAATTCTTGTCTTAGTAAAAAATTTTCGAAGGCCAACGAAAATTGATAAAGCCGGTGATTAACATTCAAAATATTCCTGGAAACATAGGAAATGTATTGTATAGTCTAATCGACTCACATAGTATAACATGCGATGAAGATTACAAAAATTTACGCAAGTTATCATATTTTCGAATTAATTAAATTAAACTAAGCGAAAGTTTTCCACAAGCTGAAAAAGAAACAAGTCAAACAAATGAAAAAAACATAAAGTTCGATGCATTTGCCGGACGAATTGATTAAGAAAATATAAACATTTAGTAGTCAGTCACGCTTTAAAATAATTAATAATTACGTTATCAGCCGGTCAGCAACCAAACAAAACCAACACACCATTTTATCGCTGGATGTAACCGGCATGTCTGCACAAATACCAGTTAATGGACTTTATGTATAAAGAACCGAAATATGATAACATAAAACCATGTATATTTTACACCTTCACGGTTTTTCCTGTATATATATTATTTTAAACATACAAAACTTAAAAGCGGTAAATACCAGCGTATTATAGAAGAGAGTTAATATTGGACAGGTCAATCACCTTTGGAATTGCATTCAGATATTCAATGTGAAAAGAACACATTCAAAAGGGTATCTGAAATATGACCTCAGACTACCGAAACTGATTGAACAAGTCACTTGTTCCCTGAAATGACTAAAGGAAATTTAAAAATAACTTCTAGCTAAAATTTTATTTAATAGAAAATGTTTCATTTCTACACATCATAAAAGTCAACACGATTTTTACATTGCAGATTGTATTAAATTTAATCGCGCACAATTTAAATAGAGGTTCAATTAGGAAAAATGTCTGTATATATTGTACATAGTATAGATATTAATGTACAGTGCACAAACTTTCTTAAGTGGTAAAGTTATACACAAACACCTCAACAATATATAACGCGTATTGATCGATAAAACCAAAAGAATGTACTCAAACATTGTCGATAAAATCGAAGCATTTGAAATCCGAGTGTGTCTAATAAAGACACTGAATACCTGAATATAATCATTGGAAAATTTTAAATTACTTTGTATCTATTTTTGTTAATCATGTGGTGCCCGGACGTCTGCAGCTTGAGCAATTCCTCCTTGATTAATCTGGTGATCTCCGATTTGGCTTTGGAAACTGCCATATCTGAAGTACTTTCAATTGCAAGATATAACTTGCGCTCCCCTTCTGGGGGTGCTTTTCCAGTCGGAACATAAGTACCTCTCACGGTGATACCGGCTTCTGAATATTCAGAAATTTGTGCTAATGCCTCCTGAAACAAACAGATCGATTTTTTTGAAGAAAATGTTTACTCGCAAAATATAATTGAAGGGAGTAGAAGCAAAACCGCCTAAGTGCAATATTTTGCAAAACTGACTTGAGTCTTAACTCGTGTTCTCCATATTTGCTTCTATTTGATAGTAAAATCGCCAAGGTAAAAACCATAGCTTGACGGCCTTTTTGGTGAACAAAAAATTTTATATAAACGAATCTCGCCAGGCGTTTGGAGTCAAAAACGCCTAAGTGGCACTTGTTTTGCTCCTGAATGCATTTTTGTTAGAATATTACAAAATTTAATCACAGAGATTAAGTGATCAATTATATTTTTATTTTCAATCGATGTCTTTTGGATTAACAAAAATATTGGTAAGTATAAAAAATATTATTTTGAGACAATGATATTACTTATTTAGACTCAGAAACAGACCCATATGCCACGGACGAGGACTCTGATTTGATACCAAGTGAAGATGAAACTCATAGAAGTGATAATTCCATATCAGATTTATATAACATTATATTTATATAAGATTATAAAGCTACGTAGTAGTGGTTAGCAATTACTGTGGGTAGAGTTTATGGATTAGAATGTAACGAGACGTAAGGTTAAATTTCTATTTTAGTAGCCCCTAAACAAACTCGAAAAAGAACAATCAATATTAACCAATGGAAAATAAATGTAATAAAGAAGTATAGGCTTTCTGGTCTTCTACTAAAAAAAATAAAAACAAAACTTTGACGATTAATTTTTCTAAATAAACCTTTTTTGTGACGGTTTTGCTTCTAACCCCTTCAATTTTGATTAATTAAGTAAACAAAAAGAACTTAATAATTTATAACTTGTTTTTGTGTCGAGCCTGTGCATATCCACAAATACTTTGGAAACTTTCCCATATAATTATTAATTCGATAAATATTATCACACGTCTTGTCTGGTATGTGTTTACAGTTCTGTTTACATTTTTCACTTTGTAATAATATTTATATTTTTCGCTTATTAAAATATTCGCAATCTAAAAACTTTGTCTCATAAATAATGTTCTTCATAGCAACAATATAAAACAGAAAGCGTCCAATGGAAATAACATCCGCGTTTATCAGTTATTGGACAATATATTGACAATAATTGAAACTATCTCATAAGATTGCTTAATCATTTTAAGTAACTTAACAAAAAAAACATTGCCTAATATTTATTTATTTGCAAAATCGCCAAAGTCAACTGTTATATTTCCATATTTAAATTTCTTGATTAAGTGATTATCATCCCACTATGAATCATGATATAAACTATTCGAACTTCATCATGTATACGTTGTGGCAGCGTTATTGAATCCCTTATAAACTTCAGAGGAACTTTATGCATATAAACATAAACACATAAATTGACCTTTTGTTAGAACTGTTTAAAACATTCCAATATATTTCCAATAATTCACATCTGGAGAAAAATACACTCTTCACCCGCGCAAACACACCACAACGGCGTAAAATTGCCAAGAAGTAACCAAGATCTTTTAATCAATAAATCCTCTTTTGTAATGACTACTAAAATCAGTATAACAACTTTTATATACGCTTTAGTTGTATTATTAAATTTTTAAATAATTGCGTCATATTATATTGTCACACTGAGCATCAAAAAAATATGTTTTGCAAAAAAAGTAATTGCAAACCGATTGATAGAATAAATACTGTTAAAATGTCCATTTTGGACGGTACCACTCAATAAGTGGATTCTTACTAAACTAAAATAATTTTTAATAAACCTTGCATATGGTAGTAAGGCAAAAAAATGTATAGTTTTTTAACTGAAAACTTACCTTTGATGTAACTCTCCATCTGGCTTGTTGTGGGAAGTCATTAATTTCCAACTCTTCTTCATACTTTCTAAACGTCTGTTCGGTGTCTTCGTCCATACGATCTTCATCGTCTTTGGGCTGGTAGTTCAATTTGTTGTTCAGTTTCGCCGCTAGCTGCTCAGCCACCGTCTTTGCTGTTATTGGAAGTGCAGAACTGCTACCTACATATAGGCATAGTTTTGTAAAATAACCCACTGTGTTTGGGAGATGTTATTAATTGGCTACTACCTATTAAAAAGGACGAATATATTCTAAATAAAGACAATAATTACCTTTGAGAATAGACTCAGCGGCTTGTTGCGTAGCGAATTTGGCATCAAAATTTGTACTTTTCGTAAACGTGATTTTCGACGCAAGCTTCTTAGCCAATTCCAGTTTATTAACAGCTGACCCGCTAGAATTCGCCGACGCTTGGGCGGCAGCAGCTGCAGCTGCTGGGCTAATTCCTATAAGAACAATTATTTTAAAGGTTGCAATATAAATTAATAAACTAGATCGAAAAAATGTAAGCCTAACTCACCGAGAGGAGCCTTAATTTCTTTTACAGTTCGTTTGGTTGCAAACATGCTTTCAATTTGCTGGTCAATGTCCTGTTCCAAGTCTTCATCGTCGCTGTCTTGCAAACCTAAAGCAGCCTTCTGGAACTTTTTCCGCTCATTTACAGCTGCAGCTTCGTTCTCGTCAAACTTAAAACCTTTGCCGCTAAAACCACCCCCAGTATGCACTCTTTTTCCTTTAAAAAAATTACATTATATTCGATCTACTTACGATCTACAACTGATTGTTTCTGGCTACGCGCCGCTTACTGTTAGAATTAATATTTGAGTAAAAAAATTACGAGCTAATTAAATTTAACGATTTAACTGTTACCTTCTGATTCTAATTTCGATTTGTAATCATCCCACAACTTCCTCAAGGTTTCAGGCACATGGAGAGTTGCTAACTCAAGGGCCCAAATTATATCGCCCGCATATCTGCCCTGTTCAGGAGTAATAAAAGTGTAGGCGAACCCTTTATTTCCAGCCCTCCCCGTTCTTCCACATCTGGAATAAAAAAAATATATTTTCAGAATAAGCCACATTTATGCCAAGTTTTTTTTATTTCAAAATATAAAATATTGGGTTTTCTTTTGGACACTTTACCTATGCACATAATCTTCATAATGGTTTGGGCAATCGTAATTAACAACCAAAATTAGTTGTTTCACATCAAGACCTCTTGCAGCTACCGAAGTGGCCACTAATAATTTTATTTTTCCAGACTTGAAGTCAACAATCGTGGAATCCCTAAAAAGTAGTTACTTTCCTCATAGTTTTGCGTCCTTTCAAATAATCAGATTCCAAATCTTACCTATCAAACTGATCTATACCTCCGTGTAAGCTCATGCAATTATATGATGCCCTCATTAATTCTTTCAGCAAAATATCCGCATTTTCTTGCTTATCCACAAAAATAATAATACTTCCTTGCTCTTGAAAAAGTCCTAAAAGCTCCAAAAGTTTCAAGAATTTTTGCTCTTCTTCTAATACAACTACGTGTTGCTCAACCTAAGAACAAATGCACTTAATTAAAACACAAAATGTAATGCTTTTTCTTAAAATATGTGATTATAAGTGAGTAAACAATATCCCCATTTTAGCACAAATTGAACTATATTCGCAACATTGATCACTACAATTTAACCTGACTTTTCATGTATTTTTGATTCCGTATCTAAATTGTTATACCTCTTGACAAACAACTGATCGCCCTCCCACTTGAACCTCGATAGGTTTCATTAAAATCCTGCGTGCCAGAGCTTCCATTTGCCTTGGAAAAGTTGCACTAAACATAACAGTTTGCCTATCTGGGCGCACATTGTCTATGATTCTCATTACCTAAAACAGAGTTAGAAAACAAAATGTAGATGATGGTAGAGAAGAAGATATTTTAAAGTTTTGAAGCAAATTAATCCAAAAAAATAGTTAATTAAACATTTAAAACCCAATTAAAACAATAGAAAATAGACACATAATAAAGAAATTGCAAAATGGACATTTAGTTGGCAAAAATAATTTACCTGCGGTTCAAATCCCATATCAAACATTCTATCAGCTTCATCCAAAACTATGTAAGTAACTCGTCTTAAATTTGTAACTTTTCCACTATTTGCTGCCAACATATCGATCATGCGGCCAGGGGTACAGACTATAATCTCGGCACCTAAATAGTTTACAAACATTTAGATAAAAAAATTACTACTTAGTAACGTCCAATCTCTCAACAGAAATGGAATAAACGCAGATTATACCATACAGCAACTACGCTTTTACAATAGCAAAAGTATGTAAAATGCCTTACCTCGCTTCAATTCTGCAATTTGCTCGGATATTCCCGTACCTCCATACACGCACACTGCATATAAATTTAAACTTTTTGTAAACTTCTTGATATCTTTGCCTATTTGCATGCACAACTCCCGAGTGGGAGTCATGATTATTGCGATAGGCCCATCGGTTTCCTCCAGTGGAGGCTGATCGAGTATATGTCGAAACATCGGTAACAGGAAAGCTAGAGTTTTGCCGCTTCCTAAATAAAGAAAAAAAAAGTACAGAAACAAGTAACAATAAATATCAACAGTCCATTCCATTAATTCGTCTTATTATACCTACCAGTTTTCGCTATGCCGATAAGATCTCTTCCAGACATTATAGCGGGAATCGCTTGTGTTTGAATTGGCGTAGGCTTGTCGAAGCCCATCCTCTTTAAAACATTGAGCTCTTTAGTTGAAACTCCACATTGCGCCCATGTTTTTATTGGCTTTGGGCATCCTTTACCTGTATAGTGAACATTTTTATGTACATTTATTTTCCAAAGTACATTTCATGCATACCTTTGACTCTAATTCCTTCTAATTCTTCCTTATATGCATCTACCTCTACATTAGTCATTTTGCCTATTTCTGGAACTTCTACATAGAAATTCTTCCTAAATGAAACATATGTAATATTATTGTGGTCTATTCGAGCTAAATCTTTCCTTTGTTTATTTGCTATATTCGCTGCTGTATCTTTCAAATCTTCTGCTTCTTCCTCTGAAGAATATCTGAAATTAATTTAATAAACGGTAGACGGTAGTTGAGCAGAATAGTGCTTGTTTGTGCAAATTGTCTTGTTAATATAATTTTTCCTAATTAGCTGATTAATCACTTACTCCAATCCATCTTGATTTTGCTCAATAAGTTCTCCTTTATTTTTGTCTACCTTTTTCTTTGCCACCCCAGTCACAATTACAAGTGACCCTTTTTTGGAAGACCCATTTTTATTGCCCTTTTTCACATGGATTTTATTAATGTTTCTTACTTCCTCTTGTACACCTAGCAATTTTAACTATATATTTAATAATCGATTTTACGGAATAAACTAATGTTTATACCTTGCATAAATGCGTCCAGAGGATCGACGTCATCGTCATCCTCTTCTTCATCATCTTCTTCCATTTTTTCAGTGTCAATTGTGGGTTTCTCTTCTGGCTCCTCTTTCTTCTCAACCTCCTCGACTTTTCCATTTTCTTCCTTGACGGTTTCTTCCTCTTTTTTCACCTCCGACTTATCATCCATTTTATCCTCATCTTCAGAATCATCTTCTAAAGACCATTTCTTTATTGCTCCCTATAAAAGGAGCGAAACAAGTTAATCCAGATTTTAATTCATTTCACCAAAATTGCTTTAAAAGCAATTTTAAAATGAAAAAGAAATAACCGTTTCGAAATTAAACTAAAATACAAAATGTCCATACTTGTGATGAATTTGAGGAATCCGATTTAGATTCCTTCTTCACAGAGTCCTGCTCTTTTTTTTTTCTTTCAGCCCTCCATCGCTCTATTCGTTCTCGCCGCTTTTGCATCTCTAATTCCAGTTTTTTTTGCTCTTCTTCCTAGAAGGTGTTGATTTTTTTAAATCACTTACCTGTAACTAAGGGGACAATTTTAATACTAACCTTATCCAAGTTTGCAGGATCAAACGACAACCCCGAATCATCTTTTTTTTCTGGTGTTCGCGATCTAGAGTTTTTTCTTTTTTTCCTGTCTTTACTTCCAGCTCTGCAAACACATCAAATAACAAGCATTCAAGTAATATATAAAATGATTCAGCATGCTGTTCGTTCAGAAATAGAACTACATTTTATAGTATGGCTCGTCAAATGTACATTTAACATACTGAAAGCGCAAACTGTAAATTGAGAAAAATGGCAATTTCAGAGCACATTTAAACCCCATTGTTTTACACACGAAAAAACCGAATTCTTCAAGAACATGTATTATGATAAACATTAATAAAAGCTTGAATTTTTTGTATTTGACTAATCAAAGAGCTATATGATGATATGATCTATGTCACCAAAACTGATTTCTTGCTACTTTGACTTGTTTTGCTACTTATATTGACCAGTACATTTTTTCTTAATTTATTGGCTAGTGTACGTTTTTAGATTTTTTACTGATGTTTTTTATTACAAAACACAAATTTAAACCACTAATATTGGAGCGTTTAACTAATATGAGTTTTTTTGTGTAAAAAACTTACTATTGGACATAAAGGCGACGGATTGATGGGCAAGACGGATACAATTGGATGGTTTTTGGAACAATCGTATAAATTAAGTGAAAGCACATACAAAATATATAAGAAAGTTCATGTAAGCAATCGTTTGCTCCCGAGATACAGAAAATCATTGTTATAAATATCATTTTGCATTCCCGTTGCTTGCCGCTTTTGAGAAGATCTTATTAGATTATAGAATCTTAATATCAAGGGGGTATCTCAATTCGTCGAATTGTAAAAGAATAAACGGTTATAAGAATGTACAGAGCGGTATGTTTTAGGACTCACATAATCTTTTACTACGTGGTTCGTCCTTGTACGCTAATTGAATCTAAATGGTTTTCTTTTTCATTTTTGACTTAATTTAGAAACTTTATTGACTTGCATTTTTTCTTATGTGCATCAGCTTCCGAATTATTCGCAAAACAGTAGGTATCACCCCATTTCACCAGTTGTTCCAATAACCATCCAATCTTGCATATTAATAATTCGTCCTTTTTGTGATGTTTTAGATTGTTTAAAGTGTGTTGGCACCATTTGCCTTTATTGGATTAATTTGGATCATTGTGTTATTATTCAACAATGAACATTAACTGGCTAGCTGACTTCCCGGTGCAAGACACCTCAAAGCTTCCTCTAATAGATCTCAAAGCCAACCAATCACTTTGCTGAATAATAATGCCTGTATCCAAGCTACTGACTGACCTTCTATCTCTATGATCCCTGCCCCTGTCTCTATCCCTATCTCTAGATTTACTTCTATCCCGATCTCGCCTGAATCTATCCCGAGACTGGCTCCTGTTTCTTCCCCTGTCTCTTGACCTATTTCTCTCACTGGTAACCTTATCTTTTGAGCGACTTCTTCGCCTGTCCCGATCTCGAGACCTGCTCCTTCTACGACTACTTTTAGTGGACCGTTCTTTACTTCTGGATCTAGATCGGCGAGATCTTCGCTCTGGGCTGAAGATTAACAAAACATTTGATAATATGTTATAAAAATCAATTGAATTAACGTGAAAAAAACATGCAGCTTACCTTCTAACCATTGAAACTTATTAGGGAATAAGAGTAATTGATAGAAATTGAAGAAATTAAATATTTGGTAACTCTTGATCAACACTGTCATACGCCCTAACCTAAAAGGAAAATAACTTGTTGTGATGCCTTGAAACTGTCAACTGCGCATGTAGAGTCAAGTCTGTTCCGGTCAAAATTTAGACAGTTCATTACATTTATTTTATTACGATTATTTTTGAAACTAATAAATATTGCTTATATTGAAGCGATTTGAAAGCTTTTACAAAGCGATTTGATGTAAATCAGAGTATTATTGTGACATGAAGATCAAGTCCACAGTAGAAAATTTCTAGGGCTTATTCCAAAATCATGGGCAAAGAAACTGACAATTTGAAAAATTTGCAAAAGTTAAAGGGTAAGTAAAAAAGTCCCACAATTTCTTACCATTCAGAGAAAAAACCTCATTTAATGCCTGAAAGAACATTTTTTTGAACAATTTAAAGCTACATAGTACAAAAAGCAATTACTATCTTACTAGTTCTATATAATATCCTTTCAATGAAATAGTCCTGGTAGGTTTTCTTACCTTATGCTGTTGACACCATTAACTAACTATTTGAGTAGTAATTCCAGCACGCTTTCTAGATTCGCGTAGCAAACAATATTTATTAACTAAAAATTAAGAAAATTGGCGGTTATTCCAGGTGCGACAATTTCGCGTTCGAATGAAACAAGCACTAATACCATGCATGGCAAGCTATTTAATGTTTTGATCAGGTTTTCCTTGATTTCGAACTTTTATTTTTTAAATTTTGTATTAAGGAATGGCTTACAGAAGCGCTGCTCTCTACCGATCCGATCTGTTTTGCTTGGTCAACTTTCGTTGATTTTGAACTTAATCAACAAAACCAACATGTGCAAATTGAGCCAATAGATTGTTGGCCAAATTTCTGATTTCGTTTTTTGCTCATCTTTCAGTTTTTTTTTAACATTTTAAGTGTTACTATTTTTTGTGTATTTCCGTATGAATGACGCCTATTTTAAATCACCATGTATATTTAGACATTGTTGCCTCACTTAATGATTAGCAATTCTAATGAATTCTAAAAAACCTTCAACTGGTTTTTCATGTTTGGTGTTAGAGCTTGTTCCTAGCAAAACGATCTTAAAAGTTGCTTATGTTCCTTTAATGTGTACTCAGCCATCAGCTGTTCTTGGCAATAGTTTACAAAATGTTTAGAAGATATTTGATGAGGAAAAAGCATTCGTTACACATTATATTAATCTGAGAGATTAACGATAGCTCAAAAATATTTATTTTGCGAATACATACATATACAAGCTGTTGAACGTTAAACAAAAATATCCAAAATGACAAACTTTTACAAGACGCAGTTATTTTTTTTTAAATTGTAAATATCAGATGTATTTTTATCTATTGATTTCTTGCGTATTGAAGTTTTATCACTTTGCATTTTTGACTTTATATACAAATACATGTTTTTTGCTATATACAAACTTTCAAACGTAAATTATGGCTGCTTTCTCATGAACCCCTTTGTATTATAATATAACGTAATTACTAATCAACATACATCACCCATATGGAGGACATGTTTCATGGAATGATAAAAAAGTGAATAGCGCAAGTAATACAGGGTGTCTCTAAAAGCCTATTGAAAATAATATCATAATTAATTTTCTGTGTTCATTCAGGCATATCCAAATGCTCGTTAAAAGAGCATATTTTTAACGTCCGGCTGTAACAAATATTTATGACCATATTTGTGTATCTACGGGTATTTTATCTGTCTCTTAAAGCATCCCTTCTCGAGATACTTGATGTTTAAAATTCACTGCATCTCTATAGGGATGTTACTATTTATACAGTTTCACAGAAAGGCAGTTTGAACGTATTTTCATATTCAGTCTTTGTAATGACAGCAAAGATTAAATCTGAAAATGAGAGATCACTTCAAACTTTTAATAAAAACAATCAATTTTTAAAAAATGCAGTTAGTTATTAAGAGCATACTTCAATGTGCATAGAAAATGATAAACAACTTTAAGATTGCGCCCCAAAAAACCACTCGCTTCAAAATATTATGCAGATGGCATTCAAAATAATCTGCATTATGAACAAACTAATTATTTTCTTAGATTTGTGAAACTGTATTTCGGAAACCGTCCACTTTTACAGTTTAGACTTTCGCGCACTGAATCACTATCCTATTCCCGATTAGTTATAACGAAAATAGTTAACTCTGTTGGCATGCACGAACAGCAATTAACTGCAATAAAATATACACCGGCGCAAATACCTCTGAATAATCTAAACTAATCTGAATTAGGAACTTTTTACAAAGCAAAAACTTAAAAACAAATACGAGACTTAAAAAGGTCACCGACCAACACAACTTCATTATGCAGAATTTCAGTGTGGTCTCCATAATCATTCGTATGAAAACAATAATGCAGAAGTAGGCGTTAAGAGCATCTCCTACAAAGAGCGGGAGAAAAATCAGCCACCAATCATTATTATAAAACTCTATGTCGGGATCGAATTTCACAGCCAGCATTATAGTGAAAGTCAATAAGGACAAGAGGGTGATCCATATTTCAAACACTGTAAGCCCCAACCATTTTACCATCTCCTCTATTGTGAAAAACATATTACTAATCACTAATGCACGTAAAGGGGGCAATGAACTGGTTGTTATTATGTAGATTCCACTGGTTCAGAGCCTCCGGCTTGTTTCAGAAGATCTGTTCTAAATACTCGGATTCTTAAGGCAGAGTTGAATCTCTTTTGCATTTCGTAATCTGCATCATCAACAACTGGTTCCAGATCATCTATAATACAACCACACATTAATTAGCTACAGAAAAACTCGTATTGCAACAGAGAATTGCATAATACGAGAAAAAGTATACAAAGAGAGTACCTATACAGAATGGTGCAACCAAGAGGTGCTGGAAGATTCCGATTTAATTAGTAACTTGTGATTCAAAGTAAAATTATGCTTAAGAGGATGTTACTTTAAAAAAGTTTGATATGCCACGGATTTTTGGGAAGACCCTGTGTTAGGTCAACATTTTTAATGGATGGCCACTATTGATGCCAAATTATTTCAAAATTATCCTTCCCATCTTGGTGTCACCACTCTGTATAAGAATATACCAACCTATAAGTGTTGTGGAAAAAGTTTTAGTGTGATATTGGTAACTGATGTGTTTTTCACACAACTGGAGAGCCAACAGTATGCCCCGTTGAATAGCAGCTCCTAAGCAATATATGATAATTTCCTGCTCATTGTTGATGATCAGTTTCGAACAAGCTTCTAAAAGTGCCTACGAAATAAGTGAAATAAGCCTCATTAGAACTACCATTTCTTTATTTCAAATAATTTATTTTATCTTGACAAGTTCCTGAGATAATAAATAGAAACCTGGTTTAAGGTCCCTTCTAAGGCTTAGCTAATAAGCCATTGGCTATCGATGTTTCTAAATATTGCTTCAGAACACCCCGGTATGGAAAGTAAAGTTTAAAGGGTTGTTAATGCAAATTGTCAGACTTCTGATCCCCGCTGAAGAAGTGGGAATTTTCTATAGAGAGGCGGTTATTGGATGAGTTTTTGGCCATTGCGTGTTGAGGATTTCGAAGCATTTGCTTTTGTTTGTGATCCGGTGGAGAATATTAGAAGTTTTCTGTCCTTCGCCTCGTGAGGCGTGTTTGATAATTAAATCACATGCAAGAAAATATTGAATGTCTTGACTGAATATATTGGTGTATTCTTCAGAAGTGAAGGTTTGTAGAAGGAAATAATTAGTATTAGGGACATTTCCTAAGATAATAGAGGTTGAAGAATGCAGTGTCCTTTCTCCGAGATAGTTACTCATGCATTGTCCAATGCAATGGACCATTTTAAATAAAAAAAATCTACTTAAAATAGTTAAGTAATACTACTAGATGGATACCTTGCTGCTTGTTTTGGTGCTCACATAGATAACATTCGAAGCAGTTTCAGGCTTTTGGGGCTGTCTCTTACGAAACACTAAATTTGGGTTCAAAGGCCTGTTCTGTCTCTTTGGTTTAGCAGTCTTATGTTGCACCTCAGACTCTTTGTTATTTTCTGCCATTACATTTCAGATTTTCCGAGTTTCAAAGTTGCAAAAAATCAAGAAAATCAAGAAAACGTCGCAATGGTAATGAAATAAGATGAAACAGGTTATGAGCGTTTTTGAAAATTCCTCTTCTTTCTCTTCAATATGAAAATTATTTGATAGAGAACAGCTCATGAACTTTATATTAGAAGAAAATTTGTAATAATTAAGTGAAATGTTTTAATGCAAATTTAATTACTTTCCTCTAGGCATTTCGATAGCGGTTTTCAAACACATTTGGCAATTTTGCAATAATTGAAAAATGACAATAGAGTTTAATGTTAATAGCACATTGCCAAAATGCAGATTTTCTCTGCAAGATAATACTTTGCTTTATTACCATTCAGTAACAATTCTATCACAGTTTAGTTAATAAATAGTAATAGGCAAAATATGTCTTCATGAAAAAAGAAAATTTGTTTTCGACAAAATATTTTAGCAACTTAAACAGAGCATCTAATCCTTAAAACAGTTTTAAAATGGAAAAACCACTTACTACTAAAAATTTACATATCATAGTGGCAACATCCAATGTGATATGTGATGTGACATTCCTTCAGAGATTCTTTTCTCGTCACGATTGAGCAGCCAGCTGCCGTTATCTTTTCGTTACAATTTCTCAAATCAATCCAAAAAATGGCTTTTGGCAATCTCAAAACCGAACAAGGAGTTAATGCTCTGAACAGCTTCCTCGAGGATAAAAGTTACGTCTCTGGGTAAGCATAGTTGCATTATCTCTTAAAATAGTCAGTTGAGGTTAGATTGCGCACACGGTGACCTTAGTAAGGCTCTGTCGTCTGTCTGACTGTGTTAAGAGCCTTATGCCTTATGCCTTATACCCTTGATATTCTGGGCATTATTTCACAAAATATGTATTCTTAACAGGTACCAACCGTCCCAAGCCGATGTCGATGCTTTTAACCAGATAGCCAAGGCACCATCATCAAGTCAAGCAAATGCACTCCGTTGGTACAACCATATCAAATCCTTCAGTGCGGAAGAGCTGAAAAGTTTTGGCGCTTCGCCTTTGTCGGCAGGCAAACCCACTACAGCTCCTGCTAAAGCTGCCCCTGCCGATGACGATGATGATGTGGATCTATTTGGGTCTGATGAAGAGGAAGATGCCGAAGCGGACAAGCTGCGTGAGGAAAGACTGAAGGCATACGCAGAGAAGAAATCGAAAAAGCCCGAACTCATCGCCAAGTCCAGTGTCATTCTTGATGTTAAACCTTGGGATGATGAAACCAATATGAAAGAGCTTGAGAGCAACGTGAGAACTATTGTAATGGATGGTCTTCTCTGGGGAGCTTCAAAGCTTGTACCAGTGGGTTACGGCATTAACAAGCTGCAGATCATGTGTGTAGTCGAAGACGCCAAAGTCTCAATTGATGAACTAACTGAGAAAATCCAGGATTTCGAGGACTTTGTTCAATCAGTTGACGTAGCTGCGTTCAATAAGATTTAATTGTATTTTGTTTTAATGCATTAAATAGAAACAATCAGCCTATTTGTTAGTGTCATCTGATTTAGTGGATACTAATCAGAAGCCATCAAATATTTGCATGTATTTATACAGGTCTAGTCCGTTACGTATCGGGCCATTTTCTTCCTCGTCCTCGACGAGATCAAATACTCTCGGTTTGCATAAATAGCTTCTGGATTTTATAGGTTCTAGGTAGTCTGCTAAAACCGGCTCTTTGTCTCTCGTCGCATCATTTACATTCCTGGGAGCAATACGAGGTTGTTCTTTTCCTTCAAACCCTGCTAACGGTATTAAGTCCTCAAACACCCTTTCGGTGTGCGAGAAGTTCATCTGTCTGCCCAACTGAAAGAAATTGTATGGTGATAAACGTTTCCTATGGGTATATTCATACTTTCTCATCTGCAGTCGATTTGGTTAGATCTGGCATAGTTTTGCTTTTTCTAGGATTCTTGATTTCATCGATTTTCCTTGATAGTTTGAGAGAACTGTACCTTTCAGGTACATTAAACTTGACTTGTGGTTTACTTTTATAACCGACGACTTTATTGGGAAAATTAGTGGAGCTCGTCGAATTTACACCAATTTCACTTGAATTAGTCTCTTTCGAAGGTATAACGCCAATTGTTTTCGGTACTGGCTGTTCTGGATTTCTAACCAGAGTTTTCACAGCTAATGTCGATTCACTTTTTCGCATGTTCCGTTAGATAATGTTAAATTTGTTAATTTTTTGTAACTGTATATGTATAGGGCAAACTATAACCTATAGGTAAAGAGTAGGGTTGCCAAATCTCCCCCAGTTTTTGATCGAAGTATTAGCTCAGGTTATAAATAAAAGTATCTCGTCAATTTTTCCGGTTAAAAAGCTAAAAACGGTAATCCTTTACGATACAGTCTGCTGTAGCACTCGCATATGTTCGTACGCCCAGCCGAAAATGGCCACAAAATATCCCCCTTGAAAAGGATTATAAGCTGGAGTAAGTTTATCTGATTATTGTCTAAGTAATTATTTAACATAATTTCATAAAAATTCCTTAATCGAATCTTTCAT